CGAGAAGATGATGCGAAAACAATTCGATGTGTTGCAAGACCGTCACAGCGGCGCATGGTACCTCTTCTTAGCATCCTCGACGTCCTTCATTCTCTTTATGAATCTAATCATGAGCCTGTTTGTCGCTTATATTTGCTTCTCTTTAGTACTGATGAATAAGAATGGTAAATTATAATTATTAAAAAAATGATTATGCATTGAGGATTAACTGTTCTTTATGACTAATTTTTAAGGATTTTGTGAAATACATAGTATTGAAATACATAGTACAACAGAAATACATAAAATCTGGATAAATTAATAGAATCAAATATTCTATATTTAAGTTTCGATATGTTTGTTCTTACTTTTACGTGTTAGTATTTTGGACAATATGTTTGATTAATTTCCGGAAATGTATTATTACAAAATATCTTTGTTGATCTTTATGCTGCAGACAGCGTAGACAGCAGCAAAATAGGTCTCGCCATATGGCAATCTTTCTATCTGACTAGTTTCTTATCACACGGCATAAAAGTGTTTATTGAAACGATGTCGCTGATGACCTCTGTAGAAAGGATTCTTGAGTATTCAAGTCTTCCCCAAGAGGAATCCATTACCTCGGAGAATCCGCCACCGTCTACATGGCCGTCCCAAGGACAATTAATCTTGAAGAATGTTAATATGAAATATTATAGGGAAGGTCCACTAGTTTTGAAGGTAAATTAACCGACTGTCTATTCTAACAAATATATTTTCTATTCTATCACGTCGTTACACTTTGCAGAATCTGAACATTTCCATCGAGCCTGGCTGGAAAGTTGGAGTGGTGGGACGAACTGGCGCCGGAAAATCCTCCTTGATTTCGGCACTCTTCCGTTTGTTCGACGAAGGTCTAGAGGGCGAGATCAGGCTCGACGGTCGGGACACAAACACTGTAGGCTTCAACAAGCTGCGCTCCAAGATCTCCATTATACCGCAAGAATCGGTGCTCTTCTCCGAGAGTCTGCGTTATAATCTAGATCCGTTCAATCAGTACGATGACATGAAATTGTGGGAGGTGCTGCGGCTGGGCGAGCTGAACGATGTTCCGTTGGACCACAA